TGAAGCGAATGGGCTACAGCAGTAAAAGACCATTCAGGGTGCTACTCCTGTCAGCTAAGAACAGGAAACAATTACAGACTACAATTCACACAGGCTCACAAAAATTAGACAATAGAAGATTGGAAAAAACATTGCCTGGTCTGATGAGTCTCGATTTCTGCTGCAACATTGCAATTGTAGAGTCAGAATTTGGTGTCAACAGCATGAAATCATGGATCCATCATGACTTGTATCAATGGTGGTGGTGTAATGTTGTGGGGCATATTTTCTTGGCATACTTTGAGCCTATTAGTACCAATTGAAAATCGTGTCAACGCCACAGCCTACCTGAGTATTGTTGCTGACCATGTCCATCCCTTTATGACCACAGTGTGCCCATCTTCTGATGGCTATTTCCAGCAGAATAACGCACCATCTCATAAAGTGCAAACCATAGCAGACTGGCTTCTTGAACAAGACACTGAGTTCACTTTACTCAAATTGCCTCTACAGTCACCAGATATCAATCCAATAGAGTGTGCTGGAATGGGAAATTCACATCATGGATGTGCAGCCAACAACTCTGCAACAACTGCATGATGGTATCATGTCAATATGGACCAAAATCTCTGATGAATATTTAAAGTACCTTGTTGAATCTATGCCACAGAGCATAGGCAGTTCTGAAAGTAAAAGGGTCCAAACTGGTACTAGTAAGGTGTACCAAAAAAAGTGGCCGGTGAGTGTATTTTTTGGCTATTGCACAATATAAAAACCTTTATGGAGAGGGAATTATACTATTGTCTGGAATAATCTAAAATTATTTGTTTTGGGTTTTTAACTTCAATAAAATCTCGGTGTTTAACTAAACTATGAACATGCCAGAAAGTCAAGATACTTCAGTTGCATAGGTTATTACACTGCAAAAATAAAAAATAAAATAAATTCTAAATGAGTGCATTGGTAGTTCTAATGTTAAACTGGCCTCAAATAACACAAGCTGACTTCTCTACAGACCTGTGTATTATACTCTGCCCACTGGATGTCAGATGACAGTCACATTCCTGACCAATCATGCGGGTTTACAGTGATCTAGTCAGGCAGAGGTGGCTCATTTTAACATAAAGTGAGGACTTGGCCAGTGGGCAGCCTGAGGCATCTCCCCCTCTCCGGCTGTTTCACTGTGACTGAATAAAACACAAGAGCATTTACACCACTGCACTGTGACACTAGTTATTTATTACGTACTGTAGAACTGCATTTTTAAAGGGGTCATGAACTTCTTATTTTTTTTATTTTATCATTATTATTATTGTGTACTGTTCTCTGAGGTCCACTCATAATGCTATCAAGAGTTTTACATAAAAAAGCTATTGTCTGTCCTATTTTGACATTTTCATTAGAACTCACTATTTGATTAGGTGTGGTAGATTGTGGACATTTAAAAAAAAAAAAAAATTAACACTTCTAAGATTAAAGTTCTCTGACATTTTTAACATTCAATAGGACAGCTGTGTTACTTTTATGGAGCAACATTATAGTAGGATCTAATAAAATAAAGCACATTGCTTAATTTGCATTAGTGATAGACCCATTCAATTGACATTTCAGTGTATTGCCAGCTTATTATTATTATTATTATTATTATTATTATTATTATTATTATTACTTCACCGAAATCAAGTTCACGTGAAGTCACAATTTTGTGACCAATACATTTTGTAGATATGATCTAGGGTGTCCAGATGTTCTGTTTTCCCAGCGAGAGACCCATATTTCACCTCCTTTTTAGTGTCACAACTTATTATGAATAAATCATGTTTTGTCCCATATTTCACCTTTCATAAAAGGCCTTCACTGCTGAGCATTAGCCACAGTGTTTTGACAAGCTAAAAAAGCCTGATCAGTGGTAGTCAGTCGTGTCACAGCGGATTTTGAAAAACTATACCTAGATAAAACAATGTCATATAACATTTACCTGAAGAAAAGCCATTCAGCATAGCATTATACTGTACAGCAAGAAAAACAAAAAGTCTGCTTTTGCTCACTAAAAGAAGTATGGTTTGCTGAAGAAATCTTTGCGAATCTCCATCAACCGTTAAGAATCTCCATCAACCGTTAACTAAACGGTTAATAATGAAACAACAGTGATTAACCATTTATACGACACAATTGTACATTTAAAACATATTTTTAATAGCCTCATTTCTCATTTCGTAGTCTATTATATCTGAATAAGAAATAGAATAAAAACATTTACAAAGATTAATTTAGGTTCGTACAGGACAAATCAAAATCACCACAATATATACAATCTTTCGTTTTGATCAATAAACCTGATTATAAGCTCTAATAATAATAATAAAAATACCAACAATACAATAATGGATGAAGGATTGAATAAGAGAAAGAATGAATGAATGAATGAATTAATGAATAATGGATGAATGAATGATTACCCCCTTCTCGCTAAAAGATCCATTTTTCAAAGTTCCATGAATATTGATTTAATGTCTCCTAATGGATCAATGTCTCTTATTTTGACTAAATTATTATTATTATTATTATTATTATTATTATTATTATTATTATTATTATTATTATTATTTTTAAGAGCAATACTTAATTATATTGATTTTTGTTGGTCAATACATTGTTAAACATTTGACTTGCATAAAATCTATGCATGCAAGAACTGTAGTCAACATTTCTAAACAATAATCTAAATCAATTGATGACTCAAATGACAGTACAGAAATAATAAATAAATTGCAACATTAAAAACTGTATTGGCTTGACTTTTTTATTAGAATACGTTTTAATGAATAAGAGGTATCTCATTAAAATAACTGCAATAACAGCTAATGAAAGAGGTACAGTATTATTTTAATAAGTTTATTATTATTATTATTATTATTATTATTATTATTATTATTATTATTATTATTATTATTATAGCTCAGATTTACAAGCTCAATGTGTCATACTCCAATGTACATGATTCATATATTATTATAATCTCATGAAAGAGGTCAATGACATAAACAACTTCCTCAATTTGTTTAGCCAGACATTTACTAGAGAGAGAGAGAGAGAGAGAGAGAGAGAGAGAGATCTTTGTTCAAGTATGCTTCATTACAACACAGATGCACAGTCTAATATGCAAGCATATGTACTGCATAGTATTCTCACAATTGACATAGTAAGTACTGCTTCAAATTCGTTTGACATTTTCTTATAATCAGCAACCTAATAGAATTAATGTTATACAGTATAAATATTTGTATAGAACAGTACAAATAGTATAAATCCTGGCGATGCATTAAATGCAAAAGTGCTTGTAAGATACAGTACATAGAAATCTGTGTTCCCCAGAGTCAATAAATTAATCTTTATGTTATTCCATCTACTGATAGTTTTGGTTGTGTTCTACCCTACACACAGAGCAGTATATGGAACAGTAGATGTAGACAGAGCTGTATGATTATCCATTAGGTGATTCATTTGATTTAAACTAATTACGACAATAAATTTATTCTACTATTGTATAAAGGGCAATTCACAATGCAAAGATGAATACTGGCAGCACAGTGGGTAGCACAATCCCCTCACAACAAGAAGGTCGCTGGTTCGAGCCTCAGCTGGGTCAGTTGGCATTTTTGTGTGGAGTTTGCATGTTCTCACCGTGTTCGTGTGGGTTTCCTCCGGGAGCTCCAGTTTCCCCCACAGTCCAAAGACATGTGCTATAGGTGAATTTGGGTAAGCTAAATTGGCCATAGTGTGTGAATGAGTGTGTATGTATGTTTCCCAATACTGAAAGGGCTTCTGCTGTGTAAAACATATGTTGGATAAGTTGGCGGTTCATTCCGCTATGCAAACCCTGATGAATAAGCCGACTAAGCCGAAGGAAAATGAATGAATGCTTACTGATGTGAATTATGCATTATTTTCTAATTATTCAATGGAATGGAATCAATTATTTCACATAATTTGGTCACCATACCTAAAGACATTTCTCAGATATTGTAATTCAAAACTATTTTTTTCAGGTTTTTATCCTAAAGCTTGGTTTTTCTTATGTGTCTCTTCCAAACGGTTAATTCCCTTTTTTTTAATCCTTTGTAAAGGTTAAAATACCCAGAAAGCATTCATTCATTCATTCATTTTCGTGTCGGCTTAGTCCCTTTATTTATCCGGGGTCGCCACAGCAGAATGCACCGCCAACTTATCCAGCACGTTTTTACGCAGCGGATACTCTTCCAGCCGCACACACACATACACACAGTCATACACTACGGACAATTTAGCCTATCGAATGTCTTTGGACTGTGGGGAAACAGCGAGAACATGCAAACTCCACACAGAAATGCCAACCGAGGCGAGGTTCGAACCATCAACCTTCTTGTTGTGAGGCAACAGCACTACCTACTGCGCCACTGCTTCGCCCAACCCAGAAATCAATCCACCATTATAAATATTGTTCTTTAATAAACAAAAGTTTATTGTAAGACTAGTGTAGGCACACTAACACATGCCCTAGTCCTTCACACCCTAAGCCTTAGATCTGTCAGGTGTGAAATGACATGTAAAAGCCCTTCTGGGAGTGGAAAGTCCTAAAGAAGGAAAAGCTTTCCAGATTACCCCATCTTTAAGGATGAAAGGACATGGCATATGCGAAGGAAGAAGTGGATGCTGGCAAAAAAAAAAAAATCCCTTTTCTTCCTACCAGAGGGGAAGGCTGAAAGAAGACGGTCTTGAACTCTGTGAGATGTTGGACAGCGCTGAAATGAGTGAACATGCTAACTCCAGCTCTGTGAAGGCGGACACTGGAAGAAGATGAAAGAAGACTGCGCTCTCCGATCCCCTTTATTGGATTACGCCACATGGTTCAAACTCAAAAAACGCTTTGGTATTTTAATAGACCTCTGCGGGGAGGAAAGGTAATGCTAATAGAAAACACCGCTGGTCTAGCTGGTTAGTTAAACCATTACTTACTGTAAATTTAAACCATGACTGGCAAGTTGTGAGCTCTGAATTGGAAATTTATTTAAAGTGATGCAAACATTACAGCTTGAGCCACTTGCACTAGATCTGAAAAAAAAAGTATATAGATAAAAAATGTCACACAGTAATTAGCTAAAACGCAAAATGTCAATAAATCCTAATGGTTTCACTGAAGCTAATTGAGCAGCATAATCAAATTTGTCTTGTGTCATCCGGGCGGTCGAAGGAAAGAGATTCAGTGTTGTGATTGGCCAAAAAAAAAAAAAATAAATAATTGAAACAATCAGCATTCCGTTGTGTCCCTGAACAGCAAATCCATGGCTGACAGAAGTAATAGTAGAGATTAGTTTCTCCTGTTTTTGATTGCAGGAGCTACACTGCAGCCTGATTCCATTTTTCAAAAATTGACAGGATAAAGCGAAGTGGAATTGAAATCACTGTGGTGATTGCTGTCCTTACGCGTAGGCTGGGAGACCAAAGAGTTCTGGTCTGAAGTCTTCCATGCTTCTAAGCAGTAAGGTGGCTTCCTGGGTGAGGCTGCGGTCCAGGTTATCATCAGGGATCATCACCACCTGCATGCCAGCTGCTAGACCCGCCTTCACCCCGTTTGGAGCATCTTCAAAAACCAAACACTGTGAACACACAACCAGAACAGATGAATCAATTAAAACGCATCACTGCATGTACAGTGTGTGAAAAAGTGTTTGCCACTTTACTGATTTATTTATTTATTTTTTTTTTTGCATGTTTGTCACACTTTGTTGTTTCAAATCATCAAACTAATTTAAATGTCAGTCAAAAATAACACATATAAACACATCCTGCAATTTTTAAACAAATGTTTTTTTTTTTTTTTTTTTCTATTATTAATGGTAAACAAAATCTAAAATTACATAGCCCTGTGTGAAAAAGTGTTTCACTGCTTGCCATCATTACAGTCATATATTATTGTGTGATCAGAGTACAGCTAATGCCGATGCCTGGTGTGCTGAATGGCAAAGTTCTTTATACAAATCTTCCAGAAAGAAGTTTGTGTAGAACCAAAGTGGACATTTAACTGTACGAGATTGAAAGTCAGTTTGGAGAAGGCACTTCCATTGTACATTAGTGCAACAGTGCACAGTGACAAATGGCATTTGCACTCATTTACTTTTCACGAGTTAAAATAAATAAATAATTAATAAATTCAATAAATAAATATAATAATAATGCTAAACAATCGGTTTCCATAGATTGTCTTGCATTTCTTTATTTCAGCATGCACATATAGTAAAATATTGTATTTTAAATTATTTTATCCCCATGATTGCAATTAACAAGTTATTTACAGTAAATACATCAGGCTCCCCAGTTTTTCACGATTTTGCGATTGCTTAATCCAACGCAAAATCATCAAAAAGTTGCAACTTTTTAGCGATCCTGCAATATTTTTAATTTAAACGCACAATAATGACAAAAAAATAAATAATCTTATGAAACATCCATTTCCAAAACATATAATAAAATTATATATATTTCAATTTGCAATTATTTCTTTTGAATGACTTAGAGATGTTGCATATGCAGCGCACATGATGCATTTGTGTGTGTCTCAAAAATTGTCATTTCACCTGCACCCTCACAATTTTCACATTACATAGAAGGGGGGCGGGGCAGTGTGTGCAGTAAACAGACGTGAATGAAGTGCGAGTGATTTACAGTACATGTGATGTCAACGTAAAGATAGAATTAGACATTCTATGGCTTCAGACTGCAAAAGAAAGTGGGAGCAAACATCAAACAAACAGCAAACAGAGCAATGGAACAGACAGAAAAGCAAGCAGCTTACAATTATTACATATATATATATATATATATATATATATATATATACATTTGATGATCAGCTACAGAGCTGTCCTGAACAAGTGTCTTATGATCTCTCTATCTGATCCAATACATTTAATATTGAGTATGCAATAACTCAATAATGAGTATGCAATAACTGCTTATATTTGTACATTACATGCACATTTCAGATATATTCACTCCTCATTAACACCCACAGGGTATTTGAGTGAAATAACTCAAGTGTTGCTATTCTTACACACCTCCAGTCAAAAAGGTGCAATTATGTGTTTATTCTGAGTAATACAATACGTTTGCTTTCAGATGCACCTGTTTTAGTGGTATTTTGCTTTGATGTTATCAGAAATTCAATTATTCATGTAAACTGTCAAAACACATTTTGGTATGGTATAGCTAATTAAGTAATTTACACTAATAGAACATTAAGCTATTCCCTACTGCGGCTTCCAAGACTGAATTAATTTAACATGTTGTGCTTTGAAAAGTAAATGACCAAATATTTGTTTTTATTATTTAAAAATAGCATGTGCACCCTGCTTATGCTAACTGTAAATATGCATGAACAAATCCAATGTACCCTACTACCTAGCGGAAGATAGATTACATAAAAAATCCGTATTTTGATGTGTCTATCACAGGCTTAAACGATTCACTTGTTCTTCTACAGACAATTTTTAAACAGGGCAAAGCAGATATCAAGGTTAAGGTTTGAATAAAAGCTTCAACGATTTGTTAAGAGTTTGACAGCAGCTGTCAAGTGCATTTTAGAAGTTTAAATGTCAGGCAATTCGTCTCTTGATCTAGATCTCTCCCTTTGGTGCGCTCAGTCATTTCATCATAGCATCCAAGTTCAACAAAAACACAACAAAATGAACTTCAATGAACCCTATCGTGGGTAGAAAGTTGTTAAACATCAGCCAGCAGTGTCGTGCAGCACACAAGCACATCATCCTTCCACCATTTACCACTGTTTGACATGGATAATTTGGGACCAGACACAACTTGCATACAACAAGCTGGAGTTTTCATTTTGTTAGTGGATATTGTAGCGATGATGGGATTTGTTTGCTGAGCCATCCTTGTAGCTATTATCAGTCATGGATAGTGCAGACGGCTCTGTCAGATGAGCACTACAATTCTTTATTGCTATTGCTTGTTATCGGCTTTCATGAAATCAGTAAACAAAGTGTGTTGCTGGTGCTGATATACAGTACATGCACTGATATATAGTGCATTTGTTAGAGGGAATTACAATGCTGAAAAGCTCAGTTCAGCTACAACTTGTTTTACCTTTCATTAAAATACATGCACGCAGTGCAGCTACTAACTAATATTGCTATAAAAGTAGTCAGATATGAAATCAGAGCAAATAAAAAAACTAGTATAAGCACAGATAAAAATATAACTGAATATTGCTCACAATTTATAATAAAGCGTTTAAAGCATGCATATTCATGAGAGAGAGAATCGAGTGAGAATGAAGTGAAAATTGATGACACTATAAAAAATATATATTAATTAACAGTTTCATAGCTCATGCTTTATTCAAACTGCTTTACAGGACCTTGATCTCTGCTCCAACAACTTTTGATGTTGCATGTTCAACAAAGTGACATTTTTAGTAGCGTGAAATTATTTACTGATAAAAAGCTTCAAGAGTGAGCAACGTGTATGAGTAGGGGCGTGTGCGCACGAGACGTACCTGAAGAGTGGTGGGGGTGAGTTGCATGCGACATACCTGAAGAGCTAGGAGGGATGCGGTGGAGAGTGCATTTGCGAGACACTCCTAGTCTTAGCAACTCGATAAATGTATAGGACTCAGCAAAATTGTTTCTACTTTATAATTAATTTGTATTAAAAAATTATTATTATTATTATTATTATTATTATAACTTTCCATTTTCCATATCTGCAATGCCTGTGTTTTGGCATTTTTTTGCAGTCCACTTAGAGTCCAACTTGGAAATATATATTTTTTTCTTTATTGTCATTGATTGTTTTGAAATTCAAATGACACTATAACATGCCTGTGTTTTAATTTCTGTAATAAATATGGCTGTCAATCCAGGATCTTGATGGTTTATGGTATGTTGTTTACATGAAGAAATCTGTGTTACAAGTTTAACACAAATTCTAATAAACAATTATATTTTGAATTTAAATAGTTTTTGTCTTGCTTTTATATTAATTTTACATTTGAATAGCCAAAATTACAAGTTTCTGCCTTTTTGCAAAAAAAAGTGTGATTAATTAGTTAATTTTTTAATCGATTGACAGCGCTATTATATAGGCAAAGCAGTGGTGCAGTATGTAGTGCTATTGCCTCACAGCAAGAAGGTCGCTGGGTTGCTGGTTCGAGCCTCAGCTCAGTTGGCGTTTCTGTGTGAAGTTTGCATGTTCTCCCTGCATTTGCATGGGTTTCCTCAGTCCAAAGACATGCGGTACAGGTGAATTGAGTGGGCTAAATCGTCCGTAGTGTATGAGTGTGTGTGTAAATGTGTGTGTGGATGTTTCCCAGAGATGGGTTGAGGCTGGAAGGGCATCCGCTGCGTAAAAACTTGCTGGATAAGTTGGCGGTTCATTACGCTGTGGCAACCCTGGATTAATAAAGGGACTAAGCCAACAAGAAAATGAAAGAATATATATATATATACCATCAAGATCCTGGCTTGACAACCATATTTATTGCAGAAATAAAAACACAGGTATGTAAATGTCATTCGAACTTCAAAACAATCAATGCCAATAAATAAAAAAAAAAATTAAAAATTCCAGTTGGTTTCCAATTGTACTCATTTTAAAGTTGTATTGCTGTGAGTTGAGAACGTTACTTATAAAGTAGTATAAAGCAGGCGGAGCGACTCCCTTCAGATTCAACACGCATGATTGCATTCATCAAATTTGCTTAAACTAAGCGTTCTAAAGTATGGCTGTATTTCACAAGGATTCTGACACAACAATGTGAAGCAGCCGCTTGCGTGTAAGGGGGAAACAGGTCAAACTTAATGACACATTTGAGGGCTCATGCTGAAAGGCAGATGAATGGACTGTCTTTGACAGCTTGCGACTTCATGTCACTTTCTGAGTACATTTACATGGACACCAATACTCTGATTTTATTATGATTAGGATAATACTCTTATTAAGAGTCTACCATGCAAGCAGCGATTTTTGTCTACCTTAAAGCACCACCAAGTCACAAAATGCTGAGTTTTTTTTCTTTCTGTTCGCCATGCAGACAACAAAATTTACTTTTGAGGCTTTTTTAGTACAGAATGTAGTTGTTTAGATTGTAACTATGCTGTTTATTTGCAAGAATAGTGTCTATTTTAAAAAATTAAAAATTTCTGAAAGAACTCATCGGCAGCCATTAACCTGCCATACTGAGTAGACCAACTCTGAGTAGAGCAAACATCCCGTTTTTTATTTCTTTTGGAAAACTTCCAATTTCACCCACCCACCTCTTTGGTACAGTCTGCAAACACCCCCGGGTTGCCAACTTTGGTACAGTCCGATTGCAGTGGACGCCCAAAACCTGCTGCATCCTATCCCGGTTCTCAACAGTGTTATTTACCTCTGAATACTGATTTTTAGAGACATGTTGGCAGGTTGGCATGATCTCTCACTTTTGTATGTTGTAGTGCCGTATTAATACCAATTTGCTTGCATATCAGGAATGTGTGTTGTGTTAGCAGATTGAAATAGGTCCGCACGTGTTTAGCGTTATTCCTTATCGCAAACAGAAGTCTGTTAATGATTGCATTGCTTTTTTCGGGGTTAAATA